ACATCATGTGTCAGGACAGGCTGTCGAGTGGAACCCAGTTGGGAAGAGACGAGTTGGGCGTCCGAGGCTAGGGTGACATATAGGAGATGATGTGAGGAATAAACGAAAGCCTGTGGACAGTTGTGGAGCCAGGTTGAAAAGACTGGAGAGAACAGATTACAATGGAGGCGTGCTACTGAAGCCCTATGTTCCACTAGGAACGAACCCAAGGGAAAAAATAATACTAATAATATAATAAGCGCCTGTCAGGTTTAAGATGATGCTCCAGGACTAGTTTGTAACCACTCCCAGTTTAAGGATGAACAGTAAATTGGGGAGTTACATCAATCCGCCGTAAAGGCTGTTTAGTGAAGAATTCTCAGGCGCGATATAGAAGACCCTTATAGCATTTGCCTGCTGTAGTCATGTATGGCGTCGACTGACGAAATATGCGACCATCTATCAAAGGATGGGTACACTGTGCTGCAGTCCGCTATTGAAGGAAGGAGTGTTCATTATCAACATGTGGTACAGTAGTCGTTAAATATGGTACTGATTCACCCTACACTAAGACAGTCATATGCAAACTGTGCTTCATTTCCTCTTCTGCTTCTCTCTTGATTTGCTGTTGATACGCGCACATTGTCTCTTACGTTTCTCTTAGCAGAATCCCTACTCATTCCTCGTAATTCCCTATGATTTCTGCCGCCGTCTCAACATATACTACTTATATGCCTTCTTATCAGCAACACCCACTACACCATGTATTGTTATGCAGCTGTTTGTTATTACTGTTAAAAGTAGAAGACTTGCAGCAGTTCATGCATTTTGATCACAGATGTTTTCGTAGCATTGATCACATTTGGTGGAATTATCATCTAAGCAATGTTGAAGTTAGTAGGCAGGCACGTTGATTGATGATGTTCTGAACATTAGTTGACTGAGATGTCTTGGATGTGCACTACGCATGCTGAATCATTGCCTACCTTGAGGTACCATGCTAGCAGAAGTAGAATTCGGTTGTAGGGGGGGCGGGGTTCATGTGGTACCCGTCGATAAAATCTCTGACTATTGATCTAAACAATATGCACAGACTGTTCATGATAATGGTGTAGATATGTAGTGACTATTTGATATCGTCATAAGTTTGAATAGTCTCAGAAGCAGTTATCTTCAGATTATTTAATCTCTTTTCACAAAACGTTGTCTACTTTGTAATCAGCATACTTAAAGTACGGCAAGTTGACTCTATGCACCTGCGTTTAAGATTCTCTGTTGATTTTTGTCACTTACAATACTAAAATGTTTCAAATTTCATAGTGATTTTAGATAAGAAGCAGAAGAGTAAAATGCTAAGTTGCTCGGGGAAAGCAAAGATTTATTTTGAAAACACAATCATAATTTGAGTGGTTCAATCACTAATGGAAGAAAACATTTGTTCCTCCTGAGGTACACATTGAAAGAATCTAGGGTATACGCTTCTCTCTGTCATCTTGATGTCAAGGTTACCACATCATCAGCATCAATCAACATAGGACCAGGGGATTACTGCATAACGGTCCGAGTTGTTACACCTCACATCGGCACGTCAAGTATAAGGCAATGAAAGGGAAGACGAAGAAATGAAAATTCAGTCGAAAGAGATATAAAGTACTAAAACAGAGAAAGGAAGAATAAGAAAATGATGAGATTCGGTAAAGCGTCGATAAGATGAGCATAATGTGTGTTGTGGGGATACATCTGCACTAGTGACAATGGTTCTGAGCCATGTCATCACCAAGAGTCTCCAACCACTAATTTCTTTTGTCCAACCCCATCCCACCCTTACAGCCTAGTCTGTATCGTCCCCAACATGGCTCAAACCAACAATCAACCACTTCATGCATTTATACCATGTTTTAGTCTGACCGCCTCAAGCCAACACCCTTTTTTCCAGCCTGGATCTACTTCGACCAACATTGTGTGACGAGGTAGACGACGACTGGATAGATATACGTAACACATGTCCCAGCCACCCAACCAACCAACCACCCAGCCATCTCAGTCTATCAAGATTCACAACCATGTTAACTGACTTAATTCTTCTACCTCCATAAATCTCTACACCTGACTTCTGCATTGCTCACGTGGTGTGGTGTGGTGTGGTGACACCACGGAATACTGCGTATACTACGAAGGCAATGGTGGTGAAACACCTGAAGCCAGCTTTCTCATGTCTTCCACCTTCAATGGCCATGTTTCACAGTCAAATCAGAACAGGGTGAACTGTTGTGTGGCACACGCGACCCTTAATAGACAATCAGATATCGCGGTGGCGACGCCACAGGTGGTGTGAGTTGACAAAAGCCAACCAAGCCTTTTGTATTCGTGCAAAACTTTCATCGGTCACTGAGTCACCAGGTCACGACTGATCCTACTTACTTCCCAGGTAAGTGAAGTAAGTAGTCGACACACTCGAGCACTGCACTGCACTGCACTGCACTGACTGACTGTCTATTGTTAGCGGTGGTGGGTCACCGTTGAAGACCAGTTGTGTAGCAACAATTTGCATTTGGATGGTGAGAAATGCATCCCAATCATTCTCAAATTCCAACTCAAAGTGTTCAGATGGTAACTGTTGAAATCCAGATGTAATTGTATTGCATTGTTGTACTCTTTCAGTGAATGGAGATCTTTTGAAGAGTAGCATAATATCTACAACTGTTTTATTCTAGCTTCGAGAGGTGAAGCGGTGCAGCCAACCAAATGGAACATGAGGACAGTTACTCAACAGTGTAATTGGATTCCACTCGAGGACCTGGCCTGGCGCGTGGTGTCCCCAGTCGGCCTTCTCAATGTATGCCCAATCCGTCTCCACTTCCTTCTAGTGCATATTTTGTTGAGTGATAGGTTCTTGCTTCGTTGGTTCGTTGCCAGCCAGCCAGCCAGCCAAAGTTTCTCCTTGCTTGTTCTTCCTGGTCATCCGATCTTCGGTATGGAGTGAGCATAGATGGCAGCTGTTGATGAATGTCTGTAGTTTGCTGGAAGTGCTTTTCTTGACACAGCAAGTTTCCCGAACCATCACATAGAAGCACTGACGGACTTGAGTGAATTGGTGTTGAAAATCCGGAGGTTGTTCAGGCTTTGTGCTGAGTGGAGTAGATCTCCACACTGATTTCAGATAAATGAAGGAAGGCCTATCTTGCTGTCTTTCAGATCCTATTTTGACATCCTCGTATGTGCCTGTGCCACCTGTAGTTGAAACGATGCTGCGTGGATAGGTGAAAGAGATTGCTTCCTTTAAGTTTCTCCCGTTAATGCTGATTGGTGCTTGTTGTTGTTGTTGTTGGTTGAGTATCTTCATCACCTCCATCTTCTTTACATTCACTTGAAGTCCCATCTTCGCTGCCCTGCTTCTTTTCGCCTGTAGTTCTTCGAGTTTGTGCGACATTAGACATAAATCATCATCGTTGGCGAATTACAAATCTTCTAGGCTCTTTTCATCAATTTAGCCAGCGTATACCCATCTTCTCGCTCCTCACGGTTTGCTGCATGATCCAGTCGACCACAATCTTCTTTAGATCTAGAATATGCAGATGACATAGTCCTGTTAGGTGAAGACGCTGACAAGATGCAGAGTCTTCTGAACACTTTGAGTGGGAATTTGAGAATGTTTGGGATGCGATTTTCACCACCCAAATGCAAATTTCTGCTCCAGGACTGGTCTTCAGCGGTGCCCCACCGCGGTTAACAATAGAGAGTGAGTGAAGTGGTTGAGTGTGTTGACCACTTCACTTACCTGGGAAGTAGGATCAACCCCGGTGGGTTAGTTGCCGATGAGATTTCGGCACGGATACAAAAGGCTCGATTGGCTTTTGCCAATTTGCGCCACCTATGGCGCGGCCGTGATATTCGTTTGTCTATTAAGGGTCGCGTGTACTGCACAGCAGTCCGGTCTGTTCTACTGTATGGCTGTGAAACATGGCCATTTGAAGTGGAAGATATAAAGAGGCTTCAGGTGTTTGACCACCGTTGCCTTCCTAGTAAGTATAGGACGTATTCTGTGGTGTCACCACACCACATGAGCAATGCAGAAGTTAGGTGTAGAGTTTTAGGGAGGGAGAAGAGGTAAGTCAGTTGACGAGGTTGTGAACCTTCATCGACTGAGATGGTTGGGACACGTACTACGTATGCCTAGTCGTCACCGATTGCCTCGTCACACAATGTTGGCTGAGGTGGGTCCAGGTTGGAAAAAGGCCTGAGGTGGCCAGACTAAAACATGGCACCATCATCATCATCATCATCATCATTATCAACATAGGACCAGGCATTACTGCGTAACCCTCGCCGACTTGCCACACCTCATATCAGCACATCAAGTAAAAAGGTAGTGAGGTGAAGGATGAAGATAAGTGAATGAAGTCAAAAGAAATACAGAGTACGAGAAGAAAGGAAAGAGGAGTGACAAAACATGGCACCAATGTATGAAGTCTCTGACTGTTGGTTTAAGCCATGTGGGGTGAAGATGCAGACTAGGTGGTTGGGGTAGGTGGGGCAAGAGGAACCAGTGGTTGTAGACCGACTGTAGGTGATATGGCTGAGAACCGAAGTCAGTGGCGCAGATGTATACACACATTATCCTCATGTTAACAACGCTATACCGAATCTCACCATTTTGTCACTCCTCTTTCCTTTCTTTTCGTACTTTATATTTCTTTTGACTGCATTCACTTATCTTCATCCTTCACCTCACTACCTTTTTACTTGATGTGCTGATATGAGGTGTGGCAAGTCGGCGAGGGTTACTCAGTAATACCTGGTCCTATGTTTATAATGATGATGATGATGTCGACCACAATCAGGAAGATCATCATGGGTGATAGTAGTCAGCCTTGTCTTACTCCTGTCTTCACTTTTAAGACATCACTCACCTTTCTATTGTGAATCACTTTGGCATATGGCGTCTAAGTTAGTTTTCTTAGAGGATCAGCTATCCCCAATTGATGTACAATTTTGTTTTAATTTCTTTCATCTCTTTATAGGTCGTAATCTATATACCAATGAATATGTTGCGATCAAATTGGAACCAATGAAAACTCGTGCCCCTCAACTTCATTTAGAATATCGATTTTATCGTATACTACTTAGTGGTGGTGTAGTCGGTTTCCCTATGGTGTATTATTTTGGACCTGTAGGTCGTCATAATGCACTTGTTATGGAGTTACTTGGACCATCATTAGAAGATTTATTCGAATCATGTAAACGTCAATTCTCTTTAAAAACTGTTCTAATGATTGCTATTCAATTGGTAAGTTGATTCTATGTATATTTTTGAAAATAAAAATATGACTTCTACTGGTTAATGTTTAAAGATGAGATGAAAATCTAGACTGCTATCCCAGATTCGAACTAGCGACCTCAGGGTTTCCAGCCAAATGCTCTACCAACAAATCTATCTGCGAAGTTCCACTACTCATCACATTTTCTCCAATTTCACTTCAATCACCATTCCAGCTTTACCCAACGACTATCATATGAATTCATCACCTATTACTACTCCGCCTTCATCGTATTCACACACTCACTGCTGCATAGTCACCCACCATCTCTAATTCCAATCCAATGACAATGAGAGACGGTGGGCACTATATTCATTATCATCATTTCACTATCTCAGATAGAAATTCTCGTTTACCCGACTACTATTCATATTCGGTAATCATGGAAGGTGAGATGAAAATCTAGTCACCTGACCTGGATTCAACGTAGACAACTCAATTGGCATGGTTGTGAAGCTTAGTCGACACAGATGGTTGGGATCCGTGTTACATATGCCGAATCACACATTCCTCCCTCACACAATGTTAGCCGAAGTAGTAGGTTCAGGCTAGAAAAGGGCTTTGAACCAGAGCAAGACCGACACCACTCCATGTCAGGTCTCGAACTGTCCATCTGAGCTCACTAAGGAAGACGTAAACAATATGGTTAGGATCTTTGAAAAGAGGACTGTTGATGACATTACTGTAAAGCGGCAGATCTATTGACTCGTCGACAACTTCTGTCGCTTCAATATTCACCCTAACCTTCATCTTTAACCTCATTATTCTCTGTTCTTTGTATACCTCTGTGAAGTGTGGCAAGTTAACTCGATCCACTTGTGTGCGAGTATAGCGAGATGAGTTTATTGATTGAGAAATAACATGACTACTTATTCTTTGATTCTATGACAGACAGTTCAGATTAGCCATGGTGCTTCACTCAATGACCAACAAAACCTCTACATAGATATAAAAGGCTTAATCACCTCCTACCAAATGAAACCATTTACGGTGACGTCGTCATATCGCCGTGTAACATGGTCATTCAAAGACAGTCGTATGAGAAGCCCTCCTAGTGTTTCCCTAACCTTTGTCACTGTATTACCATCTCACTAATGCAGAAGTCAACAGTGTTGAGGCTAGTGATGGCCAGATTTTAAAAAATGGCATCATTGTATGAAGTTGTTAACTGTTGGTTTGAGTCGTGTAGACACATGTAGAGTTGTAAGCGCTGACTGATTCCTAATGTTAATTTCTCAAGATGGTACACTTTTGATGAAGACAATCATCAGGAGAAATCGTGTTTCCTAGCAAAAGTCACCAAGGCGTATCTTCAACTTTAAGGGATGAGATATCCCCCTTCACAGTCAATCACGTGATCACTGAGTAATTGCGGTTGTGACTGACTTCATATTCGATTGAATTAGACATGTTGAAGAGTGGTAAAAGGTGCAAAATTTACGTGGAGTAACAAGCCTTCTTGCTGATTGACTGGATGGTGATGTTTTCAACATAAACTGTTTATGCTTCACCATTATATCTCACACCACTTTCCATAATCAGGTTTCATACACCTTTAAAGCCTTCTCATATTCTGGGTGATGATTGAAGGTGAAATGAATATCTGAACGTGGTTGGATTGTTGTGTTATGGGTTGGTTGTTGATGAAATCTCAGCCCGTATATAGCAGGCTCACATCGCAATTGGCAATTTGTATCGTCTGTATGGCTGACTGTCTATCGACTCACGAGTATACTGTGCTGTAGTCCGTTCTCTTCTGTTATACAGCTGTGTAATATGGCTGTTAAAAGTAGAAAATATGAGGTGGTGACCGGGTTTTGATCATAAGTGTGTAAGCAATGTCAAGGTCAGACGAAGGGTAGTAAGCAAAGTAGACAAGTCGATTGAGAGGTTTGTGAAAGATAGACGACAGAGATGGTTGGGATTTGTGTTATATATGCCTAATCACCGATTCTCCCGTCACACAATGTTAGCCGAAGTAGTAGGTTCAGGCTAGAAAAAGGCTTTCAACCAGACCAAGACCGACACCACTCCATGTCAGGTCTCTAACTGTCGATCTGAGCTGAGTAAGGGAGATGTAAACAATATAGTTAGGATTTTTGAAAAGAGGACTGTTGATGACATTATTGAAAAGCGACCGCTATCAGTGTCGCAGATCTATTGACTCGTTAACAACTTCTGTCGCTTGAATATTTACACTAATCTTCTCTGTTGTTTGTATACCTCTGTGAAATGTGGCAAGTTAACTCGACCCACTTGTGTACAAGGTTCTCTGTTGATTTTCCCATTCAATCTGCAGCAGTATACTGTCTTCAATACATACACTTGGGGTTTTGTTCTTATGTTATAGAGTAGCAGATGAAGAATCACACAGTGAAATCAGTGTATTAATTGGGAAATGAATAACTTCATATTATTGACTGATGAACAAATAAGTGTAGGATTTGAAATGTATTCAGTAACGATGTTCACATTCATACAGTAGGTAATAAACCTCGCCTACTGTGTGAGACTGCAGGATACTAAAAAAACTACTCTTTTACTCTCCGTAGTTGTTATGGGGTTCGAACCTACGACCTGTATCGTGTGGTGGTTATGTATGCGATTACTGGGATAGAGCAAAGCAAGCAAATATGTGTATGTATGTGTTTGTATGGTTCCAGATTTTATTCAGTGATGTATTGTGATGGAGTTTTGTTTTTGTTTGTGTGAAAGTGAACTTGTAGTTAAGGCTCACGGGTTCGAACACCTCTCTACCTATTGACCTATGGGCAATAATCAAGCAGATACTGGTGTGGTTAGATTTCTGCTTGGAAACGATTTGACCTTGATAAGTGAAACAGTATTCATGTTGTTTTACAGAATAGAAATGTGGATTTAATTGTTACCCAATGGAATTATGAAATTAAAATAACTCTAATGTGTTCAATATCTGATTTTCTTTTTCAAATGTTATGCTGTTAAAGAAAACCTATCTAAATGGTAACACATGATAACATGATTATTCACAGAACAATGGCTGTGAAACATGGGCATGAGTAGGCTTCAGTTGTTTGTAACTGCTGTTGCCTTCATAGTATAGACCGTGTCATGACGTAGTCAGGCTTAGAGTTTTAAGGAGGGGGGAGGTAAGTTAGTTGACACGGTTGTGAACCTTGATCGGCTGAGATGGCTGACTGGGACATGTGTTAAGTATGTCTAGTCAGTCGTCATCTACCTCGTCACACAATGTTGGCTGAAGTAGGTTCAGACTGGAAAAAGGCTCTCGGCTTGAGGCGGTGAGACTAAAACATGGTATAAATGCATGTAGTGGTTGATTGTTGGTTTGAGCCATGTTGGGGCGATGCACACTAGGTGGTTGGGCTTTGCGGGACAATAGACTGATTTTATATGATATTGCTGAGAATCGATGTCTTTGGCGCCAGATGTATGCATACATTATCCTCATCTTGACTGTTATAGTTAATCTCATAATCTTCTCATTCCCCCCCTCCTCCTCCTCTCTTTTACTACTTTCTACTGGTTTTGATCGATTTTTCTTAACTTCTTCATCTTCCATATTATTTATTACCTTGTTGCTTGATGTGTGGATATGAGGTGGGATGTAGCAACTTTGACCGTTACTGGTCCTACCATGTTGATTTTCGATGATTTCTCTATATGAATTATAACAAGAAGTCATCCTTGTTGTTATTCATCACCATAGACTGAGGTCAGTTGAAGAACCCATTGAATACCTGATAGCACTGGGCAGCTGTTTTGTCCTAGCTTATCTAGAACTCTTCAGAAGTGCCTTGGTTGTATTGTGTTCTCTTAGCTGCTTGTTTAATCTTGAAGCTTTCATCGTCTTTCTGGAAGACATCATCAGCAACATTAACTTCAGTATGAAGTGAGCCACCTGTCAATATCTCTCCGTGAGTGATTGTGTAGCTTGCTCTGACGATGTGGTCTGTGATTGGTTGTTTCCTTTGATTGTTGCGTCATTGACTGACTGTATAGACTTTCCTGTTGGCAGTTCCTCTGTTTGACCTCTGACCTTTCTGTCGTTTATCATCTTTCTTATTGGTTGATAGATTCTGGTCCATGTCTATTCATCTGTTAATTGCTGACTGACTGAGGTGAATGCTAGGCTTCTAGGAATCCTCTGATGATATCCTTTGTATTTCCTCTCTTCGTCCAAGATTTCTTATTATTATTATTAGTCCCTTGGGTTCCTAGTGGATCATAGGGCTTCAGTAGCACGTCTTCAGTGAACTCTGTTGTCTGCAAACGTTTGGACCTGGTTCCATGACAGCCTACAAGCTCTCATTTCCTCCTCGCACGATCTCCTCCATGTCACACTCGGACGTCCAACTCGTCGCTTCCCATGGGGATTCCACTCGAGTGACTGGCCTGACGCGTGATGTCCTCAGTCGGCCTTCTCAGTGCATGCCCAATCCATCTCCATTTCCTCGTGCATATTTGTTGGGTGATACGTTCTTGGTTGGTTCGTTCCCAGAGCTCCTTGTTACTTATTCTTTCTGGCAATCCATCTGATCTTCAGTAGCGAGCGCAGGCGGCAGTTGTTAGTGAATATCTGTAGTTTGTTGGAAATCCCTTTCGTGACGCGCCAAGTCTCTGAGCTATACAGAAGCACTGACTTGACGTTGGTGTTGAAAATCCGGATCTTGTTCACGCTTTATGCTGAGTGCAGAAGATCTCCACACTGGTTTCAGGTTAATGAACGCCTGTCTTGCTTTTCCGATTCTGACTTTGACATCCTCTTCTGTGCCACCTGTAGTTGAAACAGTGCTTCCTAGATAGGTGAAGGAGGTTACTTCCGTTAAGTTTCTCCCGTTGATGATGATTGGAGTTTGTTGTTGTTGTTGTTGGTGGTGGTGGTGGTACGGTATCTTCATCACTTCTGTCTTCTCTATATTCAACTGAAGTCCCGTCTTCGCTGCCTTGCCTCTTCTGCCAACTTGTTAGT